CACTTACCTTCAAATGTGCTGCAATTTGGGTTACGGCATCCCTCTCCCGAGTTGTAGAATATTGTGTTGGGGTCCTAGCCTTAGTATCTCATTTGGGTGATTACTAAGGACTCAATCAATCAACTAACTTGAATTTGTTTTCTCCCGTTTGTAGATGTCTAAGTTTGACAACTATGGTCTTCCCAAATCACGTGGAACAAGCATTCCACATGAAGATGGTATTCCATGATTCGATCGAGGAACAAGAAATCATGCTTCACTTCCTCCACCTCCTCCAATTGTTCTCCCTAACCCACAAGGTCGAAGAATTGAAAGGTTCAATATCACTAAAGCCCTATTGGAAATGAAACATGAAGATGGTAAACCCGTGTGTGCCCACGTTCTAGGAATGAAATCACACATTGATAGGTTGATAATGTTGGGTGTGTCATTCCCGGATGAGTTGGCTGTGAATTGGGTTTTGCAGTCACTTCGTGAATCATATAATGAGTTCAAAAGAAAGTATTATATGATGGATCATGACGACAACCTCATTGACCTAACTTACATGCTCATTGCTGTTGAATCGGAAATGATTTGGCGAAGCAACGGAGCGTATTTGTTGGGAAAGTCAACCGACCATGCTTCCAAGGACGTTCTAGGAGAACCGACCTGCGTTTGCTGCCAAAAGAAAGGGCGTTGGATACAAGTCTGCCCAAAGAGCCTGAAAAGTCCAGAAGATGGGAGAGTCAAAGTGTATGGCTGCGCTTCAAGAAAAATCCACTATCTAACTCGATTAAGTTCTTATTCGTTGATTCATGATACATAATGTGATAAGATTGCATTTGAATGTTTTGTAGGATCGATGAAAGGAGAGGAAGCTTGATGAAATAGAGCAAGATGAGTCTAATCATGAAGAAATGGATCTCGATCGCATGGATTTGAAGATTAGATTTTGAGCTTAGATAGTTATGATAGAGTTGTTAGAAATTTTCCTTTTGAAATACATAGTTTTCAATGGATTTTGCATTGTAAGGACAAATGTTTTCTGCTACTTTTATAAATAAAATAAATTAGTGTTTGACTTATTTATTTGTTTATTCCCTTGCAATGAAATCGTTATGAAAATTGATGTTTGCATATTTCTACAACGAATGGATATGATTCTTATTTATGGAAATGTCGAGAATTTACCAAATAGGGAGAGTTTCTCATCACCCAAATTTCAATTGGACAGAAATTTGGAATCACGCAACTTGGTTGCATGATGAATGAGAAATTTCATATTTGGAAATTAGAGTAATTCATTGACAAAATGTCAAGTGAAGGACTAGGAGATCGAGTACACAAAGTTGCGTGTTGATCAAGTCCACCATAAGAGTAACAAAGATATTCGTCATGATTTACTAAATGTTTAGTAAATATGATTATACTTATAAGATTAAGTGTAATTCGGAATTGATTAAAAAGGGTTTAAATCAATAGCAAAACGAATAAGTAGAATCAAGTAGGCAGAAAGATAAAATTTTCTCCATTCTAAGAAGAAGGGAGAGTAAATTTTATGCTTTATGATAGGTCTTAATGATTAAGAACCATATCTCAGTTGATCCTCTAAGTGAGTCTTAGTATAATTGTATGTCTAAGAAGAGGAATCAAGAATTGAAGAAATGATTAAATCAAAAAGTCAATCATACTTCGTTCCAATAACAAGTCTTAAAGTTAAAATTGTGGCAATAAGTGACAAGTATTAAGAAAGTTTTTTTTAACATTCATCAAATGTGGAAAGTTGTGATGTCTTGGATAAGACAAAGACCAACTAGGACCATTTTATGAAGTGTTATGTTTTGATAAAAACTACACTAACTCTTGAATATTTGGTTGTCAAGAAATGTTTATTGACAAGAGAATCTTATATGTCAAGGAGTCAGTGGGAGTCTTAATGGTCTTGAAAGGTTTCAAGAACAAATCAAATAAACCTTATCGATCATCACTAGCACACGAGTTGAGGTTTACAACCTATCGTGTTGACACTATTTTGTTTTCTATGCCATTCCAATTGAGTTAATTGTGCATATGAGTCCTATGAGTTCTCGTTTGAATGCATAAAAGGCAAGGACCTTGATCAATGGAAAGTATTTTGATAGGCAAAGGTGAACTGCTTAACTACTTGGAAGACATGGTGGGCACTTGTGCTACTATAAGGCAAGAAATCAAGATTAAGAAAGTTCGGTCCATATGAGTTTGAATTTGTCGTAAACTTTGGTTTTAACAAATTCACATGGATAAGAACACATACACCGTTTAAATCTAAGTATCATAAGATTTCCTCCTTCATGAAAATGATTGTGAGGAAATGCTTTCACTAAGAAAGATTTTAACAAGATACTGATTGTAAAATTGCATTCTCAAATTCGATTATGGTTACAGTATCCCTTTCCATGATTTGAGTTGTGAGGTTTGGCAATTAGTCTTAATTGTTTAGACACACATATGAACTATCTAAGGAAAAGGTGTATAAGTTCAAGAAGCTTTGATAAAAGATTATCAAAGCACTAAGTATTAGAAAGATAGACTTAAGAAATTCAATAGATATTGTTATTCTGAAAGTTAAGATGTTTATGAATACATGTCGAAGCTAGTGGGAGCATAAGTGTTATGTTTATAATAATCATCATGATAGTGGGAGCATAAATGTTATGATTGTATGGTTATTAAGGAAAGTATTGCAAGTTGGCAATATTAATTATAGAAAACAAGAGTCATTCTTTGCAAAGTTGTAAGGATGGAATAGCTGTTTTGCTATAATTAAGGGAGAGAATATTATGCTTCATTTTAAATCTAAAGGCTTAGGTTGTGGAATATTAATAAATTTAGTCAAAAGTACATAGTGTGTTCTTAAAATTTCGATTATGATTACGACATTCCTCTTCACAACTCGAATTTTGAGAACATAGCAAATAAAACATTATGGAAAAAGATTGATAAAGTATCAAATCTTTATGTAAGACATTTTGCATCGTGCCCCATACGCTTCGAGTACAGGATCGATTGCAAATGCTATAATATTTGACCATTCTAAAATTTTCCAAATGTTTAGCGCATTTAGAGGGAAAAAGGACTAGAATCGGTTTTCCAAATGTTTAGCGCATTTGCAGTTTGATTTTACAACATTTTGATGAGAAGGAAGGAATTTTCATACCGGAAGACGAAGAAAAGGCGGTGTTCCATATATATATATAGTTGTCCGAAGGATGCAGCTGACGATACTGATGAATTCCCATTTGTTGCTCGCATTTCGGATGCTATGCTGAAGAGAGTTGATCCCACCAACATTGTTCTCATTACTTACTTACAATCAATTGATACTTCTGTTGAAACTAGGGTTCTAGTGGCTAGAGAGGAAGAAAAGAATTCAAAACGTTCGAAGAAGGTTGTTGCTGAATCTTCTAAGAAATCTGTCAAAGAATCTACATCAACAAAGAGCCCGAAGAAAGTATCAGTCTCAGAAGCAGAGCCAATCCAACCAGAAATTGTTGTTGCTGACACTCCTTCGACTCAAAAGGAAATTATTCCTTCGAACACTGGAGTTTTTCGCAGAATCAAGATGAAGTCTAAACACAAGAGTCACTCACCTTTCACCATTGTTGTTCGTAAACCACAGGTTTCAAATCAAGGAGTCATTTTTCATGAGATTCCTGCCGCTGCATCACCGCCTTATAAGAAGCGAAGGGCAACAGAGACGGCCAAACATATCTCGAAGAAGAAGAAGAATGGTAGAGTGATTATTTCGTCCGAATCTACAACTGATGAAACTGAAATCATTCCAGAGACACTGAAAGCTGATCATCAAAAAGATAATGTAATACCACCGAAAGTTTCGATTGCCAAGACAGTTTCTGTGGAGGCACAAACTTCTGACATTTTTGTAAACATATCTAATATGGATGCAAGTATCACAATGGGTGAGGATGCCTCGCATGTTACAGTCAAAGGTAAATCTTCAGATGTTACTCCAGACACAACTGTTTCTTTCTCTTCACTGGTTACACCTATCATTCTTACTACATCCACAACCGATTCTCCTACTTTTGCAAACATTATTCAACAACCATTCACATCTCTATTTTTTTCCCAATCAACTGATTCGCCTACCACTACTTCACCAATAAAAGATTCTTCTTTCATGGAAACTGAACACGAGTCTGAAGGTTTTGGCAGAACCTTTGAAAATTTAGAGATTGATGAAGAAGAGACAGACTTTCCAGATCACATGCTAATGAAAATGAAACAGTTAAAGATATTGAATACCAAACTCAATTCAATTCTTCAGTCTCGGGCATATCTTGGCGGAGGTAATTCAGTAACAAGTCTTGAAGTCGATGGTATGCTGAAGATGTTTGAAGGGAGGATTTCTTCGAAAGTGTCTGGAATGATTAAGGATTCTGAGTCTCATCTTCTCGAGAAAATTGACATTTGTGATCAGAATAATGAGTTGGGGGTCAATCCTCAGAAATCAACATTTAATGGTGATATGAAGGAGTTAAAGTCAGTTGCGAAGGAGAGACATATTTTGTTTATTCAGGATGTGAAGAAGGTAAGAGAAGATGTCAATTATAAACTTCAAGAACTGAGACAAGATATGGAGAAAGAGATTGCAAATGTTCGTATTGAATTTGCATCTCTGAATTAAAAGGTAGATATCATTTGTGATGTTGTTACTAAATTCTCAAAGTTGTACGAAACTTTGAGTCCTCAAATTGCTCAACTTTCTACAACTAAAAATAAAAATTTAATGGAGGTTTTTTCAATGCTAAAGGAGCTTAAAGCTTTATCTTCTGCACCAGCTTCGTCTTCTTTACTTTCTTCTGAATATCTTATCAACAAATCTCCAAATTTGAAGCCTTACTTCTTCAGTAGTTGGCTTCGCTTTCCAGAATATCTAGCCTTTTTCCTACCATGGATGCCCCACCTACTAGCACAGGGGTGCAAGGGGGAGAAAAGAAAGTTGAAAGTACGAAGGCTAGTGGCGAAGATGCAAAGGTTGTAGGAAAGGTGTTTCTTTCCAAAATTCCAACATGAAAATCAGTGATAGCAACTGCTAGTCCTATCACTTCTACAATAGTTACAACTGTGCTAATTATAAGACCAACTTCGAAAGGAATTGTGATTGGTAAATCTATTGACACTAGTAAAAGAGAAGTGATAGAGGAATCTGGTTCGAAGACAAAGGGAAGTCAATTTTAATTGAAAATTCTAAAGAACAGAAGAAGGAAGAGGCTGAAGCAGATGTAGAGAAGATGAGGATGATACAAAGCATCATGACTCAAAGGGCCAGTGATCCTCCTGGCATGAACAAGGGTGATCCATCGAAGAACTACAACTATGAAACAGTTGAAGCCAAGGTTGCATTCAATCACATGTATTCGTTTGAGAAGAAGCCTAAACAGAGTTATATTGTCACGAATACGGATGCAAGCCAATTGGACTTTCCAATTAACGAAATGATGTTCATCATGCCTCAATTTAAAGCTGAAAGTAATTCAAGGAGAAGGATGAAGGCACGCAAATGAAGATAAGATTTCATGCGGTTCTTTCCAAACCTGCAGAAGAAGTATGGTCCTTAGTCAAGATTAAAAAGGTCATAAGTTTAAAGAAGGATGTGGTCTTCGAAAACACAGTCCAAAACATGAAGTATGTTGTGACCAGGGCAAATGGCGATGTGTGCGAGTTTACAATAGCAGACTTTCCTTTGATGAATTTGTATGATCTTATACAAGTTGCATTACTACTGAAGGAAAGATCATTTTCATATCTTGAAAACACAGATCCTGATGAATACAAGCTGGGAGTTACATAAAATTTTTTATCAAAAATTAGTATGAATGTCTGGCAATGACAGATGTGGAGTCAGCTACAGCAAAAGGTCTGGGAATTACAGCACCAATGGCTCCTTCGAAGACTCAAGCAGACTTGAAGAAATATGAAGATGGTGAAATATGGTTGAAGCCTTTTGGCTTAGTCTTCTCTGGGAAGGATAAGTTAGGAAAATCAAAGAGATTTTTGTTCCATGCTAATGAAGTTGAAAGATATCTACTTCGCAATATACAAACTTGATTGTTCGTCTGAACCATTGCAAGAAGAATAATGAAGGTGATAAGAAGGAACTGAAGAAGATTATCTCTTAGTATACTGAGATACGGAGAGTAATGATGTACTCCATTCAACTTCTTACTAACTGAAGTCTTCAACTCTATTTACAAAGGGGGAGAATGTAAGAGTAGTTTGGTTGTAAAGAGTCGAAGTCTTGTATGTACTCTTCGTATGTTTTGATATCTATTTTACTAAGGCATTTTATACGAAGCTTTGATGTCTAGTCCTTAGTATATTTTGTGTATGCTTTTACTCTCCTATAAATAGGAGTCTTTACTAGAGTTAGATAAGGTTTTTCAGTCTTGTCTACTTTTGTACTCTATAAACCTAAAGCGTAATATTGAGCTGAATCACGATCTTATTTACATATGTGTTCAATGTTTCATACATTTCCTGATTACTTACTCTGATTAATATTCAAACTCGATTCTTAGATTCTACAAACAAATATGGAGGTTTCTTGTCAACCTCCATGCTTTGTCTCCCATGCTTCTAAAGGCTAGAAATAGTTTAGAGTATTTTAATCTTAGGCCTTACTTTACACGGACTATATAAGAGATGCATGAGGCTTGCATTTTGGCAAGCGAAAACACTTTCTTCTTCTTCTTTATTCTTCACCAAAACTGTAAGATGCATCTTGCATCTTCTTTTGCTTTCTTTTGAAGATTATTCAAGTATTTGGTGGCTTAAAATTCTTATCGTTTAGTACTTATTTGAGTTAAGAACTTAAAGGCTTAAGAGATACTCTATACAAGAAGGAACTAGCATTCCAAGTGTCTTACATTTGATGGTGGATACTTGTAAAGAAAATCATATTTTTTGATCTTTTCATCTTCACCAACACCCCAAAACCAAGTGGGACTCAAAGGCTTCAAAGGTTATCATTCTAAACACCCTTTGGTTATGTTTTCTCTTTCATTCTAACCTCTATAAAAGGATCCTTGATGGTTCAGTTTTGCTATAAACTAAAACTAAACTTATTATTTTTAAAGACTTTCGTTACCGGTTTATATAAAAAAAACTAACTTATATTTTTTTATCAAAATCTGTCAACACACCTTTTGCTACTCATTTAAAGTTATCATCATGTTTGAGTCCTACTAATGAGACTGATGTGGCTTATATGGCATGCATACCATACTCTAGTGTTGTCGGATCCTTAATGTATGCTATGATTTGCATGCGCCCTAATTTGGCTTATGCTATTAGCATGGTTAGTAGATATATGGGTGAACCCGGGAAAAGAACATTGTAAAGCAGTGTAATGGATCTTTCGTTCTCTATGTTGTATGTCTTCTATATATCTACACCTTGGTAAATCTAACATTGGGATGCTTGGATATGTCGATTCAGATTATGGAAAAGACTAAATGAAGATCGATTACAGGGTATGTGTTTAATTTGCATGGTTGTGCTATTAGTTGGAAAGCCCATTTACAGTCTACAATTGCTTTGTCACCTACTGAGGCAGAGTATATGACGATGACAAAAGTAGTTAAGGTATACATTTGGTTGAAGGGTTTATTTAGTGAACTCGACGATAGATTAAAGGTTACCATGGTATTATGTGACAATCAAAGTGCTATCTTCTTGGGTAAAGATCAAATGTTTCATGATCAAACAAAGCACATTGATATCTGTTTCCATTTTTTGTGGGATATCATTGAAAAGGGTGATTATGTCGTGGACAAGATTCATAATGATTATAATCCCGTTGATATGTTCACTAACAGTCTTCCTATAGTCAAGTTCAAATTAGGTTTGGACTTGGTCGGTGTTTCTTATGGCAATTGAGCCTGGTTAGGCTAGTGGTGGAGGAAGTATTTTATTTTTCGGAATCAATTTTTCTCTATATGGTGTTTGCAAGTTTTTACAGAGTTGGAGTTTCATGAGTTGTTGGTTTTGACTGATCGTAAAGCATGTTGCGTAATTATTTTGCTACTTGCTTCATTTTGAAGTCAAGGTGGAGATTATGAAAATATGCCTTCAAAATTGTTGAGTGACAAATCCTTCAAGGACCAAAGTTGTAAAGCGGCATTTAATATGTCATTTGTTTTCGTTTACTATCACACCTAAGGACTACATAGGAAGGTCGCAAAAGAAATGTGAGATGGCTTTAATGCATCTCCACTTTTGGCTCTTTATTGAAGAAAGAATTAGGTGATCGGCATTTATTTTTCTTAATACTCATAAATATACAAAAATATATGTTCATGAGTGATAGAGAGTAAATAGATCACAAAATATATCACCAAATTTAGCTCTTTGTATATCTTTCTGTCCAAACTCTGTAACACTACAAAATTATAGTGGATTGTTTCTCGGCTTCCTTCGCCCGTGGTTTTTCCCGTTTTGGGTTTTCTACGTAAATCATTGTGTCTCTTTTATTTACCGTTTTTTATTCGTAACTATATTGGTGGTTGATTACGTTTGATATTTTAATTCCATTCCGCATCGAACTAATATTATTATAAATCACTCGGATTCTTTGGGGCCGTTTCACGGGTATTACTACAATACGTCACTTATTTTTATCTTGTCATTTGGCTTCTTCAATTTGGAGGAATATTAGGCTTAGGTGGGATATTTATATTCCTCCTTGGCTACTAAAGCTGAATGCTTTCTTGAGCTGATATGTTGTTCCTTACCTTGTTGCAAAGTCAATGTTACAATGTGATCATCCAAAGAACGGTTTGGATGCCATAAAGTTATTTAAAAAAAAGCCTATAATTTCAAGGTTACCAAAACCACAAAAAAAATGTTTTTTTATAGGATTGTCTTCTAGTAATATTATGGATTTTCAATAGAGAAATTAAATTGATAGTCAAGGTGTGTAAGAAATGTGTTACTCCTTAATTGGTTGAGGGTTTAAGTTTTGTTATGGACAAATATTTGTAACTAAGAGTAAGATTAAAAAGTGTGTTTACTTTTTAAAAAAACTAATTTGAAAGTCATTTGGATCGGATTGTTATAGACCCGGTTTTGGCTATTAATGCTTTGTAAATTTTACCTTTATTTAGTTTCTTGTTACTTGTAACTTATCTTCTTATAAAAAATTCAGAAAAAAAAAAATTGTAGGTCGATCATTTGAATAAGTATGCCGACTCTTGGTTGAACTTTCTTCTAATAAAGAATTATGATAGTTCATGTTCTCAATAATTCACGCTTGGTACTAAAGATTCTGAACTCATCTATATATATTACAAATGTAAAGCAATAGTTGTCCTTCATATCTAACAAATTGCTTGGTATGCCACTAGGGTCAAAGCACACACAAAAAATTGCTATAGGACATAGTTTGGGTCACTTAAAAAAGTGTCATATATCGGTTTTTTTAT